TTTCTTCTAGACTTTGAAGTCCTCTGCTTTGAAGAGAACTCCTTTTAAGATCATCAGTGTAGTGGACTTAATATTTCTGATATTTGTGGATGTCAGAGTTGTTTTCCTTCCTGAGTACAGGATCGAGAAGGAATTTTGGAACACCAGGAAGTTTAGTTCGAATTTACTCAAACATCTCTTCCATTCTGCCAGGGGAGGTGTCCTTTTTCGTACATCGGGTTGCCCTTGTACCCGACGTACTTGAAGATCTTAATCACTGTTGTCGTAGGTGATATCCATATTTATGCCCACAATGCTTTGTTGTGCCTACGAGGTACCCACTGTTGTTATCCACAAGTAGGTTGTATTCATTTGCAAGGACCCGTTGTATCAGCTACGACCTCCTAGAAGTATTCGTAGGAGAGTCATTGCTCTTGCATCCTACCCACCTTTCACCAATCTCAGGTGGTTTGATGATTGCACTTGCTTGTAGGGGCGGATCCTCCATTATTGGTCTCTAGTATTGCCATCTCAATCAACAGGCACTTGTTTGTAAGGAGATTTACATCTTATTGTGGTCATTTCTCATTCGTAGGCATTTTCACTTAGTCTGCTAATCAACTACCTTCTAGTTGCAAAGGACATGTGTGTCTATCCTCGATCGGATGATTATTGGCACTAGCGGGCATTTGCTTTCGTTGTGTGCTACACTGAATACATCCGTAAGAGGTGTTATAGTTTGATTGGTGTCGAATGTGAGGGACCAATGATGTTCAAATTGGACTCAAGTCTGAACCCTTCCAAGTCCAGTTCAAATCAAGTTCATGAACTCAATGTGCAGGATCATTTCTATGTCCCTTGTAGTCCAACTAAAGTACTCGCTTGAGTTCGAATTGTTCAAGCCATTAATGTCCAGGTCCATAGTACAAGTTCAAGTTGATTGTTCATTTTCTTTTTGGTTCAAAGTCCTCTGGAGTCTTTGTATGTTCATTTTCATGCTCAAGTTGATTTGATTTCTGGTTCTGGTTTGATTTTATTTTATTTGGATTTGATCTTTAGAAATCATTTTGGGTTTTGTACAAGAGTCCAAGTAAGAGTCCCATTTTTTTTGTTCATTTGATGTCCAAATAAAGTCCATAATCTGTTCCAGATCCTTGTCTTGTGAGTTCAAACAGGTCCGAGTACAGTCATATTTCACCCGAAATTTCGGTAGCCTCCCGATGTCTCCCCCTTTTAGGGGGAAAAGATGGAAAACTGGGCCTTTCCCACCACGCGCAATAAAGGCGTGCATGGTAGGTGCCCTCTTGCGAGGACACCGCGGCCGTGTAAAGTCTTTGTCCCCACCACGCGCAACAAAGGCGTGCATGGGGTCTTCGGTACCTGTTGCAAGAAAAGAGCAGTTTGCTTTCCCCCCGTCCGGGGGTACTTATGAATTGTTCCGGCCACGCAAAGAAAAGAGTACACCAGGCTCACCTGGCCTCGTCGTGTGCGTCGCACCGGTTTCCCTCCTACCACGCTCAACAAAGGCGTGCATAAGTGGTTTGCCGGCTCGGCGCACATGTGGAGGCAGGAGGCAAGGGGTCGCTCGTTTACCTCATCGTAGGAGTCGCACCGGGCTTCCTCTTACAACGCTCAACAAAGGCGTGCATAAGTGGTCTGCCTGCTCGACACGCTTGTCGAGATAAGAGAGGGACTTTAGGCGACTATCCGCCTCGTCGTAGACGTCGGACTGGATTCCTTCCTACCACGCTCAACAAAGGCGTGCATAGGTGGTCTACCGGCCTAACACGAACGTCGAGGACGGAAGTCTGAGTTTAGATTATACCTTTGGGATCAGCGGACCAGTGGTGAAGGGTACGAAAACCGAGGCGAGAGTAACACAAGAGCACTTTTTTTCGAACCTTTTTTTTAATTAATATTAATTATAATCATAATTAATAATTAATAACTAATTATTAATTAATTATATTTAGTAAATTAATAATAATTATAATTACTTAATAATTAACTATAATTAATTGAAATTAATTATACTTAATTAAATAATTATAATTAGTAATAAACTACTAAATATTAATTAATTAGTTAATTACAATCATAATTAAATAATAACTAAAATAATTATTAATAATTACAATAAAAAAATAAAACCTCCCTCCCATTCTCTAGTTCGGCCGGACCTACAGGATTTGGCCGAGAATCGCGTGAGAGGGAGTGGAGTTACCTTCACTTCCAGCGAGCTCCCGTGCTTGCTTCTGATCAAACTCGTGTAACTTCCAATCCACAAGGAAGGGACAACGTCAGAGGAGCGAGGTCCGACCAGCAACGACGGAGCCGAAGCAGCGCACGCAAGGGAGAAAGTATCTTCACGGCGAGCTAGCTCCGGTTGTTGCTTCTGATCGGACAAAAGAGAAGGTCGTCGGGGTCAGCGAAGTCGACCGACGGCGGAGGAGCAGGAGTCAAGTAGCCGCAAGGGAGCTGAGGGAGAGAGAGCGAGAGCGTGAAAGAGATTGGGATCGTGGAAGTGGGAAGAAATGACAGGTCGTGCGAAGAAGCGACGTTCGATCGTGCGCGGGATGGCTTTAGCATAGTAGGTAAGATTTTAATTTTTTTTTTTTTTGCCTGTCACAGCAGACGGGTCAACATAAGTGTAATGTTGGAACCAAAAGCTGCTGTGAGCTCAACAATGATGACCAAAGAAGCTTCATAGAAGGAAAAAGGTAAATACTCCTCAAAATATAAAGACAGAGACTCACTATGGTGTAGTTATTGCAAGAAGTCAAGACAGACAAACGAGACGTACTAAAAAATACATGGTAAACCCCCACAAAAAGAAATTGTCTTTATTGATGTTACCTTTGATGAACAAAATTTTTATTTTACCAAAACTCATCTTCAGGGTGAGACTGAAATAGAGGAAGATGTGGAAAGTGAGCTTACCCCTCTTGACCTTCCACCTCAAACCATTCCTCCTGAAAATAGGGAACCTGAAGACAAAACCAATAGATTTAGGAACGTATATTCTAGACGTAGAAGTTCAAACTGTGCTTCGAAACATATCCAAAAATCAGAACCATCTCCTGGAATTAAGGTAAATCCAAATTCATCACCTCCCTTGTATCCCATAGCTAACTCTATTTCCTTCAATAACTTTTCATCCTCACACAAAAACTTGCTGGTTACACTAGAAAAAATTCATATTCCTAATAATGTTTATGAGACCTTATCTGATGAAAATTGAAAAAATGCTATGAGAGATAAAATGCAGGCCCTAGAGAAGAATAATACATGGGAAATCATCAAACTTTCGAAAGAAAAAAAAAACCAGTCGGGTGCAAATGGGTGTTCTCTGTAAAATACAAAACTGACGGTACACTAGAAAGGTATAAAGCAAGACTGGTGACAAAAGGGTACACTCAAACATAAGGCATTGACTATCATGAAACATTTGCACTTGTAGCCAAGATGAGCACTGTCAGGATCCTACTTTCACTAGCAGCTAAGTACAACTGGCACCTGAAACAACTAGATGTAAAAAATGCATTCCTACATGGGGACTTGGAGGAAGATATATTTATCCCTACTACCAAGATTTAAGGAAAAATATGGAGGTGACAAAGTACGCATGTTGAGAAAAGCCCTATATGGGCTAAAACAATCACTTATGGCCTGGTTTGAAAGATTCTCAAAATTCATGCTTCTTAAAAGGTATCGATAGGTATCGACAGAGTCGAAGGGACCATACACTCTTCTTTAAACACAAAGACTCAGGAGAAGTCACAATACTATTAGTCTATATGGATATTATACAAAAGCAGACATATATGCAGGCAATAGACAGAATACTGCACTACCTTAAGAATAACCCAGGGAAAGAAATTCTCTTTAAAAGAGATCACAAAATAACTCTAAAGGTATAGACTGATGCTGATTATGCAGGATCACCAATAGACAGAGATATTCTAGGTATTGCACATTCCTTGAGAAAAACCTAATTACATGGAGAAGCAAGAAACAGAATGTGGTGGCAAGATATAGTGCAGAAGCAGAATATAGGGCTATGACCTTGAGAATATGTGAGGTACTATGGATCAAGATGATTCTAGAAGATCTATGGATCAAGTGGGACGAAACCATAAAGTTGCATTGTGACAACAAATCAGCAATCAACATAACTCACAATCTAATCCAACATGACAGGACCAAGCACATAGAAATGGACATACATTTTATTAAAGAAAAATTAGACAGTGGACTATTATGTATCAACCATGTATCGTCAAAAGATCAACTTCCAGATATCCTTACCAAAGGATTGGACAGCTCTGGCTTTCTCAGAATGATTGCCAAGATGGGAATCACAGATTTATATTCCCCAGCTTGAGGGGGAGTGTTAAATCCTAGCCTTTCAATCCCGGATTAATCCCCCAGCTGGAAATAGCGATCCGTGGGAATCTCACCTCACATTGAATGCCTTCCTTAGTTATTAAGAAGGATTATATTACTCTTTATTCAGTAGTTATTTGTTTCTTTATTTAAGCATCTTGTATAGTCTATAAATAGGGATCATGTTGAATAAAATTTTTAAGCTTTTTTCCTCTCCAATCTTCTGAATTCAGCAAGATAGTTTCCTGTGTGCACAGAAGTAAAAGAAAATAACAGAAAAATGCAAAGCTCAGGCCAAAAACAAAATACCGTAAAAGGTGCACAGCTTTAAATAAAGCTCTTCCCGCTGTAATTGCTCTTAAAATTTTACAAAGAAAAAAAAAACATGCTGAGGAACAAGAAATCCAAAAATGCATGAACTTAGAACGTAAAGAAGAATATTAAAGTGCACAGTGAAAGAAAGTTGCCTCATACAAGAAATAATAACGCCAAGAAAGAAATTTAACTATGTTGATCATAACGCAGAAGGCATTAGTTAAATGGTGTGATCAAAATCCATTGATAAGCATTATTAGACCAAAAAAAAGCTTTTCCTTTGTTAGGAGAGCCCTATATCATGAAGTAATTCATCATACCAAATTATGATCAACTGCCTTGTCGATGTCTAATGTTTTAGCAGATAAGGAAAACAACTCCTCCATGCTCTGCAATTTCAAAATAATAACTAGATGTTGTTAATGACTTCCTCATAAATATGCTGCAAGAAATGCAAGTAAGTTAAAGGTGCAGCAGTTAAACAGAGTCAATCATTTAGAATCAAGTAAATATGAATTGTTTTCCTGATGGAATTTGACCCACTCTTCTTCGCTAAAATAAAAAATGGTACAAATAGAATAAGCTGTTTCTTATGTAAAGACTTATTCTGTACTGAAATAGTTCTCTACCATAACCTAAGCAGTTCAACAGTTCATGCGTGATTCGAAATTTTCTTTCAGAGAATTGTAAATTATAATAAAAGAACATTTTTTACAAGAAACCATCCAAAGGAAGGGCCAAAACCCCCCTCTCATCTCACATATAGACACCCAACGAAATACAAAACATAAAGATGCACAAAGATGCATTAAAGCATTTAATCTATGTTGATTAAGACAATAGCTTGCAAAAAAAATATCCAACATACATATTCATACACGGCACACGCATACAGACATTTGATAATTGCATCTTGAATAGCACAATAAAATGCATTTTTATTGATAATAATCAATGTAGACAACTAGAAAAAGGAAAACGTCAAAATGCTGAAAAAAAAAACCCTGGTTACTGTTCATGTTTTCTATAGGGTCAAAGTGTTTGAGTGAACTTAACACATTCCAAGTAGTTTGTTGCTGAATGTATTAAGAACTTAAATACAAACACTATCCAGGAAAAAGTACATGATGTAGAATTATTCTTACTTTTATCAGAATAATGCACAACTACCATTAATGATATTCTTACTTCCTATGGACATTCACATATTTCCATCTCCTTATTAGCATGCCTTGCAATTGTGCAAGCCTTAAGAAAACTACATTAAGTTTTACCACAATATTTTGATATCTATTCCAATGTCATATATAAATTGCCTCACTCTAAGATATTCTGGTAACAGAGAAGATGAGTAAACACAATTTAATGCTAAACATAATTTTCTGCTGATATGAAGATAAATTGATTGGTAGATAAGGTAATAAAGCATGCCCAAACCTAAATAAAGGACATCCAGAAAATAATGTTAACAAAATAACAGAATAATATACATAACGATACAATAAACACACCTGCTTTACATTATATCCACAATTACCTGCAAATGCACCAACAAAACTGGTTAAGTTGAGCATATATTATCAAATTTACAAATGAGTTCTTCAAAATCATAGAATGGATTAGGGATATAAAAAAAGGAACAAGAAACCAAATTCTGGAGTTAATGGTAAAAAACGAGGAACAAGATGTATACCAAAGCAAAATTCAAGTAAAAAAGATGTTAATATTACATGTAAGCTCATTGCATGAATTATGCAGCCTCATCAACAACATGGAGACAAGCATACGAATTTATCAACATGATTTTGACAAAAAGTGGAATATGAACTCTTGACAGTCACGTGCACGTTCAGTCATGAAATTCTTCAAAGCAAGAGTACCAATGTACCATACGTTGGAAACATAATTGATAACATGCATGGGAGTTCACCCCATTAGAAACATTTCTTTAGAACCACAAACACAAATTACGAAATCTACTAGCAAAGAATATATGCATCTCCCCGTGTTCTTATTTAAATGCAACCATCAGCTTCTAACAGAAACAATAGGCTTATTTATTATCACTTGTCATTGTGAAAATGCAACTGGCATTCTAAAAGTTAAAACACATTGTTTGTTCCTAAAAAGTAATGACACAAGTAAATAAATAAATAAATGCTAATGATATTTACAATGTTTAAAAGGAACTTGCCAGTCGATAGTGAGCAAATTAAAGGCTATTGATGATTTACTTAATAGACTATATATTGATACTGAGCAAATTAAAGGCTATTGATGATTTACTTAATAGACTAGATATTAAAGAAAGAGAAACTGAGATAGATAAAACAACTAAGTGACAAGATAATTCAAGACTACAATCTAATTGGATGCAATAAAAGTAATGATAATAAAATTTTAGTTAAATATAACGACATCAAAAAAATAAGAAAACACTTCCATAAGAAATTATTAAATGAGATATTTAAGAAAAAAATCTTTTTAAAATAACACAATAAATTTTATAATGAAATACATTAAAGATTAATCTAAAAAAATAGAATTAGCTCTAAAAACGATAAACAAAGGTAAAGATTGCATGACTCGCTACCAAAAGGAAGAGACCTGAAATAAAGTGAATTTTTATGTAGACATCTAACTCAGTGGCAACCTCAAGGGTCCATCTGTTACTTCTATGGTAATTAAACCACAAGACTGAGAACACTTAATCATATTCATGTGATATCTTTAGTAAGGAGCCCTATAATGTGACATAAATTAAATTCACAAGGTATCATGAACTGATGTTTGGGCTTTTAATTTTCTTAAAATTGATTTAACTCAAAGATGATAGAGATCAACTAAGGTGTAAACGTCAATTGACCATGTGCTCATAAGAGTGACAATTATGAGCTTGAGGACAAAATATTTTATTAGTTATTGTTATCCTAAACCAACCTTAAACTCTACGTATAACTAAAATGGGGGGATGAACTCAAATATAATAATTCAATTCGTTCATGGTCCATCCTATACAACTAAGGCTTCGTTTGGGACGGTTTTCTTACTGCTTCTTAAATCAACTTTCTTGTACAAAAATTTTAATTTATGTATTAAAAAGCTAATTTAAGAAGCAGTAAAAAAATAGTCCCAAACGAAGCCTAAGTCGAAATCATATGGTAGATGGAATATTCATCATATTCAAGGTTAGCTTTCAATTAAAATTATATGGCAAGGTTTCAGGGTTAGCTTTCAATTAAAATTAAAATTTTGAAATTCATTTTCTGAATTACCATTTATGCAGCAAAACATGTATATGCAGGAAAATAAAATGAACGCAACAACCCAGAAGTACCATTAGAGAGATCATAAATAAACTATTGCATAGAAATGGGATTATTTTATAATATGCAAGAAAGATTCAAAATTATGTTTGAAAAATAAGTTGAAAGATAAACATATAAATGGACCAGACGTTTACATCAACTACTAAAAAACAAAGCACTGGATAGTGGCGGAAGAAAAAGCTGAGATGATTTTTTACCAAGGACCTCCCGAATGCAATCCATGCTTAGCTTAAAACCATCACCAAGCATTGAGAAGAGGAACTCCTCTACATCCGTATTACTAATTGATATCTGCTTTGCACTGTTATCTAATAGAATTTGCTCAGCCACAGGTTCAGAACCCAATCTTTCGATCCCAGATTCAGCAACCAGTGATTCAAGCACATTGAGTTTCAGTGGTTTGTTTGTTCTAGATGGCTCATTCGGGGATGAAATAGGCCGAAAATATGTTCTACCAATTAAACTAGAAACAGATCCAACTGAAGCACTTACTCTTTTGGGCTTCCTTCCATTGGAAATCTTACCTAAAATAATAGAGTTAGCAGGATTTCCCATTCTAGATGATTCCTCCAATTGCTTGAAACTGGTTTCACAATTAAAATCATGAGATGAATCTTTTGTGTTTTCACAATTAAATTCATGAAATGAATCTTTGGTGTGACTTTTATTAACATTGCACAAAATCTCGCCTGCCTTTTCGACATTATGTCCAGCATTGCTATAGGCCAAGGCAATATCTTCAAGTGAACAAACAGAACAAAAGGTGTCAAACAAGGCTTTCAATTGTGCATCATCACTTTCAATAGCACATGAACTGGATGAAGCCATATCTGGGATATTCCTTAAACTCAGCAAGGAATTCTAGCACTTTAACAAAACAGAACACTGTAAAAAGAAAATAAACCAAAAAGAGATCAGCAGTCAATCATGGCCTAGAAAAATCATGTGAATGAACATAAGCAAAAGCCTGCAAAATTTATTATTACTAGGCTAATAAGGAAAAAGGCTAGACCAAACTAAACAGGATGACATCAAACTCTCAAAACTATAAAGAGAGACTATAAGGCCGCATTATTATCTAAATAACTATTAACAAATGACTTCTTACTCCCTCCAAGATAAAGTTTAAAACTTTATTAAAGCTAAAATCTAAATCTATAAAGATTAATTAGGACAAGATAATCAAACCCCGCATGGCCATTTGGGTGTTAGAATTTTCACATCATTCTTGTTGAATCAATCTACTCCTAACATTCTCATTAAGGAAAATAATTGTGCCTTTTTTTTGCTGCATGTCACATAGGCCTTAGATGCCAAAAAGAGATTGTCTATTGGAGTTGTAATGGCATTTTATGTTGGAGGAAGAGATAAACATAATAGTTTAAGAATACCGCAGCTGCATCGTTATGCCCATGATGCATTATGATTGAAGGAATTTGAATTAAGGCCGATTAAATTTGTGAAGATTGAGAAATTTTTTCTAGGATTTGTATAAATGATTTTGCAAATACTCATTTTTCCCATTTTTTATCTATTGGCATAAGAAGCAAATTCATTTTGCAGTTGAATCCAACATTATGAAATGAGCTTAGATTGATCAACCAACTAGTATCCTTAGAAGTAGTTATGCTTGTTTATGTTGTGTAAATAGAAAGAATAGGGACATTGAAAAAGTGATAGTCAAACTCTAACTCACCCCTAACCAATACTTTTCCCATCAACACAAGGGAGCGTAAAATAGGTCCACCATCGTCTGAGGTGGAAGGCAACAAATCACCCATGACCAATATATCCCCCTTGGTCACAATAGGGCGTAAGTCATATTTCTATTATTGTCTAAGGTAAAAGGCAAAATCATCAATGCACAAGTACATTAGCATCCCTTACTAATACCATAAGAGGGTAAACTAGATCTATTAACATGCACATACATTTGTTCCTATATATATTTTACTTGCATTCTTCTCATCATGCATTTACTTCAATTAATAACTTTTACATACATTTCATGAAATAGGAGTTTGAAGTAGAAGAGTGTTAAGCAGCATTATCATTAACATAAGAATTACTTGCATGAAAATGAGAAAATCAATTGAGACTATTTTCAATAACAATCTAGTACTAATTATAACTTCATTCAATGCATAAAATGAGTCATAACAATCAGTGCATAAAATTTAGAATAATGAAATTGATCACCATAAAATAGAAATGTAATTACCCATATTTATTTGCAGAAGGCTTGGTTTTTCTTTTTCCACATGTTCTATTTAATAAGCATAATAAAGAACCAAAATAAAACCTAGCACTTTTCAAACAATTTTATGAAAGGTGATGTTAGCCCTCTTACAAGACTTCGGTGTTGATATAACATTATTTCTTTTAATCTACTTAATGTATTCTTCTATGACATCTTCATTGTAATAAATAGTGCACATAGTTATAAATTATTTTATTTATTCCTAATTAGTTCATTACGGGGATTGTGATTTAAAAGCATTTGTGGTTTTTATTAGCAACATGTCCTCAAGATCAACCTAGATTAAAACTATACAATTGTTAATTATGCTCTATATGAAATCTCATGAGGGGATTTTGAAGAGTCATTCTCAATTAAAGTTAAACTATGTGCAGTTGGTGCATGTGCATTTTACTAGTATCCTAAAAAGCGATTTAACATGGAATTTAGCTAAGTTACATCAAATCCAACGTGAATAAAAATCGAGAAAAAAGCTAACGGCCCAAAGTGTGAGTGAAGTGACATTAATGAATTTGGTAGCATGCTGTTCAATGTGCTTTGATACATCTGTCTGAAAAATAGGTTAGACTTACCTATATTCTTCCATGTTTTACATATATAACATTGGATAAAACTTTTAGACAAGAAGGACCCCTAGTTCCAATCTGGAATTCCACCCTTCCTAATCGACCAAGGAAAGCATAAACTTAGTTGATCAATGCAAATCCAAATTTTTTTGGTGACCAAGAGGCATTATGTTACCTTTTACAGCGAACCAAGCATATAAATAAATTTGCATGAGGAACATAATGCATCAGGCAAAAAAATCTTACCAAAACAACAAGACAGGCTTTTTTTCCTTGAGACAACTAATGGTCTTGTTTTTTACTACAACAGAATTGCATTGTAGTCTTTATATAAATGTCTTGACGCTTAGGTAAAATGTCCCCTCATTTGTAACATTTAACCTGTACTCCTCGTACATTTTTGCATCAATGGCTCCTGCTAGAACAAAAAATTAACAATACCGCTAAAGACATACAAAAAGATATGCCTGGATATGATAATGATCGCCGACAAACCGCTATAAGGAAAAAAAATAACGGTTTGTCACGTGTGTACCAATAATACTGATCATTTTCTCAGCAAGACTTCCAATATCTTTTAATGAGATGAACTGATCATCAGATCGCATATCAATGATATAAGTAGCCAATTGATTTTCAAGAACCGCCTGATCAATAAGACTAAAATCAGCTGAATAAAACTGTGTCATTTGAATCAACTTGTCTTTGTTGAATGCATGAAATATGTTATTATGATTCAAACATGCCATGCACAAAATCAACATCCACTCGAATACGCTTTCGTTATGACCTTCAACCTGATTGTTATTGTCATTTGATGTTTTTGAAATTGAAGATCGTTTGAAATATCTCTCAATAATATTCGCACTCAAAGATGCCTTAAGATTACTCTGATTATATATATATATTAAGAAATCAAACAAGATAATACATTACACATAAATAAAACTTACATAATCAATCTTATAAATGCAAAGAAACAAAAAATAAAACTTATTGCCGGGCGTAGCGTACCAGATGGATAATGTAATAAAATTATCATTTATATTTCAAACATAAAACTTGCACAAACAAGTCCAAGAAACTAAATTCAAACAAAATAAAATCAAAGATCCAGGCAAAATTCTCACCTATAGGCTAGAAACTAAATCTACCATTTTATTTGTTGAATAAGATAAGATCATGGAAAATGAAAAAGAGAAATACCTCTCGGCTGTAATCTGTCCGAGCAAAGCATTGAAGTAGGAAGATCTTCGCAAAGGAACAAGCCTATTTTAGCGAACAAATGATATAATACCACATTATAACTTATAAAATAAAATAAAAAAACCTCTCGGCTGTAATCTGTCCAAGCAAGCCAACTCAAAAGGACTGAGAATCGTCGGGTCGAGGCGAGCAGGGGAGGTCCAGGAGGAGATGGCACGCCGTCCAGCCGTCGTCCGCCGCCGGTCGCCGCTGCGAGTTGCGATGAAACCCTTCGTGCGACTGTGCGAGTGCGAGAAAGAATGCGTCGGGAGTGGGCCGAATGAACAGCTGGAATACTGAACCGGGCGGTAAACCTAAAAAACTGAAAACTAATACATATACTTAATACTTAATAATAATATAACTGGTTTTTTTATTTTATTTTTTTCAAATAAGATCATTTAAAACTTTTGGGTTGTTATAACTATTTGCATATTATGATCATAGTTTTTTTTTTTTTTTTAAGTGAGATATCCTTATTAATTAAACATCATGCTCTTATATATGTGACAACTACTATAAAGATAGTGAAGGATTCAAAAGTAAAAAATGTTTAAAAAATGCACAGATTTACATACATACCACTATATAACACTCATATTACATATTTAACATCTCAAACTTAAATATTTCATTTATACCACTCAAACACAAACATTAAATCAAAAATACCACTCCGTAGGACACAAAACCTCACTCCGTCTGTTTCGTCCAGCGTGAGCACTGCTTTTTGCGAAATTTGCATCAACTGAAACTGGACATCCTCTTCCCAGCAAACTCCTTCCTCTGCTTGCTGTTTTCTCCACTGGTTTAGGCTTGCGAAGCTGCACTTCATCAAAGCTTGAGAAGTTCTTTTACCCGCATGATTTAATATATATATAGCTAACATATTGAATGTCAGACAGGTCTAACTTCATCATGACAAATGAATTTCTTTATAAATGGTATTAAAGAGCTTCGGATCGAGCAACATGTAATATAGTTTAAACAACAAGCAAATTTGCAGCTGTAGGTTTTCTAGGAGCGGAAAGCAGTGCAAGAAAGTAAGATGGTAAGTTATCGCTGAAGGAGGTAGGAAAGTCACGCTAGGTCCAGCAAGAAGGCGGGAAGATACACACGCAGCGAGGGAAGGAATAACGTCGTGATCTTGTGCCTACGGAGTGGTATTTTTTATTTAATGTTTGTGTTTGAGTGGTATAAATGAAATATTTAAGTTTGAGGTGTTAAATATGTAATATGAGTGTTATATAGTGGTATGTATGTAAATCCCCCTTTCATTTTATGTTTATATTTAAGTATTCAAAAATGCATGATGCCAAATGTTAAGTTTGGCCGCAAAATTCTTGAATATATGCTATGGAGGTACTTTGCTTGTGCAATGAAGCAACATACAAACTACTTTGATCAATTCTATGATATTATAGTTGTGGACTTAAAAAGTGATGGATGAAACATTAAAATTTAGTGTCAATATATTGAGATCAAATAAAATAAGAAAAGAGCATGATTTTTATGATAAATCCAAATGAATATTTGACTAAATTATTGATTCTATATTTTAATTCATCATAAATAGTTAATATGATATATTTTATCATTAAACATTTGATAGTTTTAATAAAAAATAATCAGATCATAATCAAAATAAAAATATAAGGCCTTTTTAAATAATTAGTTTATAAATGTTAATGATCAAAATATAAAGTATGATAAAATCAAATGAATTTATCTTAAAACTTATTTACTAAATATTTCAAAATAATAAATAAATAAATCGACTTAGCTACTAGCATAGATATAAGTGATACGTCATCATGAAATTATCTTGATCGGGCACAAATCTCGAGACAAAACCCAAATCGGAAACTTCAAAAATTAAATCCGGGAGCAAGTGAACTCCGATTTCAGCGAGCTTACAGTCAGAAATGTCACGCCCCAAGATCTAACTTGGAAAGAATGTCAATCTATTACTCAAACAATTTACCAGAGTTATCTAAAACCTTCAATTAGACAGTCTATCAAACATCTATAAAATTTAAAACATCAATATACAAGTCGATTCATATCTCAAAAGGTCATGTACAATACTCAGGAACTACACTACAATCACCAGTACTGAAATCTATCCTGAGTACAAAAGAATCAAAATCAATCAAAAGACAAAAACCTGAAGATCCGGATCAATTCCTATCTTCTGCTCCCTTGCCCTGACCTGAAAATATCAACCACATATAATGAGCTTTACAAAGCCCAGCAGGTCACCTAATACCTATAACTGAAATCAAAGCACGGCGATGCTATCAATATGCATGTCGGTCAATCAAATCAATATCAGTCAATGGTCAATGAGTCTATGCAAAACGAAAATCCAAAGTCAATAAAACCAGTCAATGCAGCGGTAGACGAATCGATAAATCAACTCAATAAATCCATGTCAATCTCGAAGAAATCCGTACACAGAAGAAAA